GATATTATCAAAGCTAATAAATTACACAAATGCTGGCAATGTGAATACAGTAAGTGGATAAGAGAAAAGCCCTTTAACTTATTTTTCTTAAATCAGAAAAAAGAACCATAATTTTCATGGGAAACAAAAAACCATAGAATCGAGTACCGTGATGGTATCAATATTATGGTCCTGACAAAATGAAGTACCTTCTTAAGCATTATCTGAAAACACAGGATCCTTCTCATACAAAAAAGACAATAAATGCAGGTCTAAAGTTACAAATAAAATTGGTGCAGGTTCAAAATTTGTGTAGATTGAAAATTCAAATGAGGTCACACTGCTTAAATGCCCATCTGGAACTTCAATTAGAATGTTTGTTGTACCTAGCCAGAGCATGGATTTAATGGCAACTACACAGCGAAGCACAAAACCAATATCTGGTAACGAGGACTGGGCTATACCATAAATAATCAACAAGAACCTATCAATATGCCACAGTAGCATCAGCTACCATAGAACGTCAAACATGTCAGATACAGCCTAAGTAGTGCAATTTATCAAAACCATTCACATTTGCATTCATATTCACATATTTTAACTTGTACCCTCCAAGCTCAGTAACTATTGATAAACATAACATTATCACGAGCCTACAGAGATTTTTTTCCCTGAAAAAACAAGAAAAATGTAGGGAAAGAAGGATGACAGTATAAAACAAGTAAGCTTGTTTCCAAAAGAATCCTTTATTGAAATGCACTTTTAGACCAATTATGTTGCGAAGGCATAAGCACAATCAATAGTAATAACTAACAGAAAGCTTCACCATATCGTAGAATATAGATTTAATGAGCAACATCTTACTAACATTGAGCATGCCTCATTTATCAAAGAAAAATGTCCTTCATATTCACTTCCTCCAATGTAGCTGCAAGATGGCGAAAAAGAAGATCAGGATCTACTAAGCCCAAACATATAAGAATCAAATGTTCAATAATCAATCCTCCAGCATACAAATAGTACTGCCGTGCAAATAGATATAACATACACTGTACCAGAACATTTTCCTTGCCAAGTACTATCTTTCCTTTTTTCATCTTTCATATTCTCTATAACATCTACTCCTAAACCTGATACTGGCAACTCTGTCCTCCAACCATCTCTCTTAGATTTACTGCCAGACTGCAACTTATCAACAACCTGTAGGTATGTGAGTGCGGAAAACTTGCCACTTAGTGCTTTTGCTATGTCCAATGACAAAATGATATAATTTACATTTACTTAGGATATACCATGAAAAGGTCATAGGTACAGATAAGAAGTAAAGCAATATGATTTCATTATCCATAATTTTTTTTTTTAATTTTTACTTTCTAAATTATAATTTTTTCCTCATGAAATCATGCTTGGGAGTAGTAAACATTCTGAACTCAAATCTAAATAACAACAGTTCTATAAAAAGTATTTAAATTTTTTTTTTAAACTCATGATGTTTTCACTGTCATTTTCCTAAAATTTATTTTTTTCAAGGATAAACTATAATTTTAGTCATGAACTACTTGCTATATTACAATTAAGTCTTAAAAGTTTTTTTGTTACAATTTGATCCTTAAATTCATAAAATTGTTTTGGTTTTTGATATTCTTATACATATGTGAGATTTTGATAGAAAATAACAAACAGTTCTTTTTGTTTTGTCCATATTTTGTTCTTAAATAGAGTTTGGAAGTTAGAACAAATAAACATTAATCTTAATAAAAGTAATCAATCTATCTTATTTAAGCAATACGGATGATGATAACAGAAGATAATGTATGCAATAACTATTTTTTATCTTTTTAATTCTTAGTTCTAAATAAAAACATTATACTTTTTAAGCCATTTTTTACATTATTTAGGAAGAATTTTTCCTATTCCTATTAAAAAAATTCAGTAAAAAATCACATTTAAAAGAATTTTGCAAGTGAAGGAATTGACAAGATTTTAGGACTAAATTGCAATATAGTCTACAATTCAGCCACTGATTTTATAATTTGTCCTATTTTCAACTACTACGTATGCTTGGATATACAAACATATATAGATTTAGGAAACGAAAAACTACAAGACGTATTTTCCCCTACGCAACTGAGCCTAAACTTCAAAACTAGGTATTAAACTTAGCCGTTCAAGTGACTGAAGAAGAACCCAACTAAACACAAAAAGTGAGCGTTAACTGTCGCTCGGTCCCAATTTAATAGTTTGGTGGTGCAGGCTGACTCTGTTCATCAATTAGGAAATAACTTCGTACTCCGACTCCATTTACCTGGAGAATGGAGGTTCAAGTGGCAAGACTGTGTGCCCTCATAAAATGGACAATGACACGAATAAATGCATCAAATGCTTCCTTTCATTTCGTTCATTTACACTAATGGATACGACGATATTATGAGGGCAGAAATCACGAAAACCGGAATAAGAGATATGCGTAAATGTATATATCAACTGAAGAAATTAATCTGACCTTCTGCTTCTCAGCATCGATGTAACTCTTAACACCGGGAACCAACCTGTTTTTTTTTAATCGAAAATTTAAACAAGTAGATGATCAGAATTAAGAAACCATGCCTCGTCATTTAATAAAAAAATTTATCAAAAAAACAAATTAAAAATGCAGCCAGTGATAATAAACACGAATTTTTGGCATTTGGATGCTGATTTACTTGATGAAGGTCATGAAAAGCCCTATGAAAGTCGCTTTAAGTCCTTTCTCGCGAATTACGCCGAGAAACGACTGGATGATGCGTGCGAGAAAGAGAGTGAATAGAGGAGCGAAAAGCAGAGCCAGAGGCTCGAATTCTGCAAGAAACGAATTCGCGGAAGCTCGAAATTGAATCCATAATTCTTTCAATACAGAACAATGAGAATCCATAGCTTCAGTTGTGGAAAGTTTCTTCGTCTTTTGTGTTCCTTGGAGGAGGAAATGCAGAGCGATTTAAACTATGATACCAGCAAAAGCATAGAGATTAGAGAGATTTCGGCGTTTTGGTGTTGCGTGCAAGTTACAACGATGCCCCTCAAATAATATGTTGGGAGTAGCATATCCGGTTTTCGAGAGGACCCCCCAATTAACCCGGTTTCAACATCCCAATCCGTTGGGACCTTTCTCTTTAAAATAGATGTTGTGGTGTTTTTATAGCATCTCGGATTTTGGTAGGGAAACCAGTTAATCCGGTTTCCCCGTCGAAACCCGATCATTAATACTACTATGATCGAATCGCAAAAATATTTTATTTATAAATTTATTATTTTATAAATATATTATAAATTAATAACATTACTTAGTTATTAATATATAGACGAAGATGCAATAATTTCTCT